TAGAAGATTGTAAATTAGAAATGTGCAGTACAACTAACCGAAATTTAATATTCACTTGCATAATAAATAGTAGTACTGCACTTGCAAAATACTTAAAAAATACAATTTATAAAACCTAATTGTAATACGTATTTTATATATACCCTTTGATTTGTTTGTAATTTTGAAACTTTTGTTGTTTTTGTTTATTTGTGTTTGTTGTTTCTGATCTGTATCCTTACCATACAGCACCCACTGATGGTGCAGTTGTGTAATAAAGTTATTATTATTATACATGTTAGGATACATGTCCATAACAATTTGTTTTACAATCTCATCAAAAATGGCCGACTGGTGCTCATTTGCTTTGTGGCCATACCACTACATATGTGTTTGATAATTCTAAGTTAAAAGGGAGCCTTGTATGGCTTCCTTGGGGCCTAAATTACTATCAGACAGGTCACAGTTGAAGACTGTGGCCACATGTGATCTCTGGTCAATCAGAATTTTATGCTTGCCAAAGGATCTGCTCCCCAGGGTAAGGGGGCACATGGCCATGGCATGAGGGTGCTGTGTGTCAGACAAAACCACCCATCCAAAATCTCACCCATTGTAATTTGAAAGGGTAAACTCCATTTGACAATGAGCTGGTTAACATCGTGATTATTAAGTCCTTCTTTAATGATCAGTTTATCTTGAGAAAATCCTGTTATAATAACAACCAAGTAATAATTGTTTGTAACAACTTGAACACAATTAAGTTATTCACTTATGAAATAGTGTAACCAGATTACACTGTGATCATTTGCTTCTAAACCAGTGCATTAATGTTGGTTTTTATTAGAAACTTAAAACTTTTTTTTTTATCACATGTCGGCATTTTTCCTACTGCAAAAATATCAACTGTTTGTGATGCCCATTTAAGAACTAATTGGATGTTTTTTTTTCATGATTGTAACTTGGTTCATTTTTTAATATCATTTGTATGTCTAAATAGTGACTATTTTATATAAAATGAAAATATTACTTCACACATACATGGAACAATTTTGTCTCATAGTTTAAAATAACAACTATATGTTCTAGAGTACTCCTATCTGTGTGAGGTGAATGTTTTATACAAGCATACCTCAGGTGTACATGACATGCAATCAAAGTTGATACATAAGATGTAGATTTGTTTTATGAATGTGTAACTATGGTAACCAATCATCAGTAGCTTAAGGGTTGTGGCATTGGACCTCAAATAATTGAATGCAGGAAAAAAGGGGTAAAGGAGTGTGGAATTATGGTGACTTATGGTGATACCAATCCTGCAGCAGTTCATATGAATTTTGATTTGGCCATGTTAAGTAATTGTTGTCATGGTTACCCAATTACCATTATAACTGAAATTGGTGGTAATAATTTATTTTTACCTTTCAGACTGATATAGATGTGAACACCTGGGTGAAACCAGTACTACTTGATTATGCTATGGCATCAGTTGCTATGGAGATGAGTGAAGAAAGTCAAGATGAGCTGAAACAAATTTTCCTGTATGAGGTTCTATGATAGTTTACGGAGAAATTGGAGACATTCATTATACTGAACAAAACTGTTAATATTTCACCAGTAACATTCTGATTTATGCAATGTAAATAGTGATATAAAAACAATTTATTTTCCATGATTTCATTGTTTGTCATTTAGCTGAACACGCCATATTTTTCTCACCATTTTTAGAACAATTACTGCATTTAGAACAAACAATGCATTTTGGGTACCCCATCATTTTAAAAATATATGATTTTTTTTTCACCCTATAATTTAAAATATGGCTATGATATAATTTATGATACTGTAAATATGGGAACAACATCCACTAAAATATAACCATTAATTTCTTGAAAATTAGCCTGGTGACGCCCTAACTTTTTTGAGTCAATATCGTTGCCATGGAGTACAATTCATTGCAGAATTAATAAGTTCTGAGTTTTTCATTTATGAGTACCGGTAGTCTTCTACTTTCAACCTCCTTAGATTCAGATTAAAAATACTTGTATACCTCTCATAGAAGTGGAGTACGTAAAATAGGTAATATATTTTCATAGTCCAAGACTTGAATGTTAGTATCATATTTATATTTTGTAATATTCATTCTCTGTGAATTGAGTAGATATTTTGTCATGGTTATTTGCTGGTATATATGGTTGATAGTTATTGCTGGTATATATGGTTGATAGTTAATGCTGGTATATATGATTGATAGTTATTGCTGGTATATATGGTTGATAGTTAATGCTGGTATATATGATTGATAGTTATTGCTGGTATATATGGTTGATAGTTAATGCTGGTATATATGGTTGATAGTTAATGCTGGTATATATGGTTGATAGTTAATGCTGGTATATATGGTTGATAGTTAATGCTGGTATATATGGTTGATACCTGTATAGTTTGTGAAGACCATATTTTTTTATTTTGGGATAGTTATTAAATGCTATATGACTGATGTATTTTTCCTTTTGTCAACTTTCAACATTATTTTAGACATACAAATGTAATCTCTTGGGTAATATTTCATACAATTACAATTTTGTAGATAATTGAGTAATCAGACATTAGGTTGAATGTACCTGTGCTAAATAATATGATAGTAATATCAGCCAGAATTACTTGTACAAATAATGTTGCTTGTAATTAATCATGGGTTGATGTTATCATGACTACACAAATCAAGATAATTTTCTATTCACTAAAAGATCTTGCATATTGCCTGGACTAGTCGCAAAATCAAACGATTTGATTTTCAACTAGAATATTTTTTTTATCATTTTGGGTTGAGATACTCTTATTCATCAAATCTCTATAGTTTATTATTGGAAATATTTTTGTATTTGTTGAATTTGTATTGTTTTTAAATTTAAAAAAAAAAAACTTTTTATGCATAACACTGAATCTCACCATGAGTGGAAAACTGTCTATTATGTCATTCCTGTGTACATGACACATGCTGAGGTATCGGTACATTATGAAATGTATTGCCATCTGTGGTTGTGAATAAATTATAATTTGTATATCTACGATGTTTGATATTCAGTTTCTGTAGTGAAAAATAAAAAAGCGGCTGAGATAGTTATGCTGTTAGCAATACACATTTCAATTAAAGAAATCATTGCAAAATGAACAAATCTGAGAGAGGTTTACCTGTAGTACCTATATATATATATATAGTGTCAGAGCAATCTGGCATGTGATTTTTAACAAGCTGAAAATATCACTTTTTACCAAAAATGACAAATATTCATCAAAATTAGATATCACAAAATGAACAAATCTAAGGGAGGTCTGCCTAAGATCTGTACAAATACACCAAGTATCAAAGCAATAAGGATTGTAGTTTTCAAAAAGTCGTTGACCAACAATCATTAATATGATAAGCTCTGCTCAACAAAGTCGACAGCAGAGCTAAAAATTGTTTCTGTAATATTCATGGAGTGAAAAATTCAGTCCACATAGTTTTTATGGAGTGAGAAATTCATATTTCTTTCAAAATTGGTAAATACATTGGACATTATGGGACCTTGATACATGTCATTTTCTGATTGTATTTATTAATGGCCAGCTGGTGGCCATTTTGTTTTAATGAATGCTGATTCAGAGCCATATCTCATAAATGCCTCGACTGATTGTTATAAAACTTTACAGCTACATTATATTGCACATAATACACAGACATGATTAATTTTGGGGCCCATGTCTATGGTATTTTAATTCAGCCTGTGAATGCAAAATCTCAAAAAGTGGATTTTGGTAAAATTTAGTACTTTGGGTGTAATGTGCAGACATGATTAGTTTTTGAGCCATAACCATGTATATAAAGTTGTATTTAGTTGTTAATTTTCATAATGTTTAATTGCAGCCTGTGTAAGCAGCATTTCAAAAACTTCAGAACAGATTTTGATAAAATTAGCTTTATATTGATGAAGAATATCTGCTGTATCCAAATTAAAGACAATGTACAAATGTATTAAAACTCTGACATTAGTAGAAATATAATTTGATAAATGGATATCAATAGATTGCTACCTGCAGTTGCAAACAACAAATGGTTAGACATACAAAATTATTCATGTTAGCAAGCTTGTTTTTTAATTTTTTTTAAATTGATTGCTACCTGCAGTTGCAAACAACATTGATTTATTTGTTTGCTTGCTGCAACTTTTTTACTCCAGTGTGTGAAACAGTTAGTGTGTCTGCGTGCGAGTGTGTGTTGTCCGTCCATCTGTTCCACTGCTATCTCAAGAACCGTATGTAGGTTTTAAATGAAACTTGGTGCATAGATGCTCTAGGCTAATGCAAAGATTTGATTAGGTTTTGGTGTAAATCCATGCATGATAATTAGCTAATTAATGACATGACTTTTCCACTGATATCTAAAGACCCACTCACTGATTTTTGATGAATATATAGCTCTGGAAGATTGTGCAGACTTGATTAATTTTGGGTAAAAATCCATGCATATTAATTTTCTAATTTGCAAAATGATTAGTCAATTTTCAGTATTTTCACTGACATCTCAAGTACTATCGATAATCTTTGCATTACAATGAAACTTGATAAATAGTAGCAATAAGACAATGCACAGACCTGATAAGTTCTGGGTTAATATCTGTGCATGTTATAATTAATTAACTACATGTAATTAGTAAATTTTTGGCTTTTCCGCTTATATTTAAAGTACTAATTATTACATTTCAATGAAACTTAGTACATAGATACTCTAGGACTATGCACAGACCTAATTAGTTTCACATTAAAATCTGTGCATATTAATTACCTGATTTGCATAATAATTAGTCAGGTTTCCCATCAATATCTTAAGTACTTATCTTATTTTAATGAATCTTGGTACATGTATACTCTAAAACATTGCAAAGATCTAATTTGTTTTTGGTCCATACACCTCTACAATAATTATCTGATTTGCATAATTTACTTTCCACTGTTTTTTAAGAATTGATAATGAAACTTGGTAAAATACACAGACCTTATTAGTTTAGGGTTGAAATCTATGCATAATAATTGCTTAATTTGCATAATAATATCCCAGTTATTCATAGATGCTCTGGGTAATCTATAGATGTGTTCAGTTTAATAATGAAAAACATGCATATTGATTATCAAAAATTTAAATTGAACTTGTGGTAGAAGTGCCCTGGGATATTAAACTGAAAACCACAGATGTAAAATCAAATGTATATTGTTCTTGCTATAAAGGGTTTAAAAACTAGCATATATTCACTTATCATGAATAAACTTGTAAAAGAGAAATTCAAAAATGTTGTTGTGTTTTCCGACCTGGTCATCGGTCCATTGCTCATTTGCAACAACAAAAATACATAACATATGCAGGCATCAACCATGATGTGGTTGTAGAAAATTCACCAAAAACTGGTGAAGTTGACTACCGGGTATATAGAAACTAGTGAAACTCACCAAATTCATGGTATAACAGTTTAATTTGGTATTAAAGTTTTTTATACTAAGTAAACATATTGTGTGCGTGTTTCAGCAAACCCTCACATTACCTTGTGCATAACACTGAATGTAGATTAATTTACAAGTAATTTCATTACATAGTCAAGTTTGAGATCGAGATATGGAATTGCAAAAATGCTTGATTTCGATGTATTTTTAACATTAAAACAACAGTATTTCAGCCAACAATTAGCATTATACAATTGGTTTACAGAAATAAAAGAAGTGGTCGAACAATGATCAAAACTGGTATAAGAAATTTAAAAATGAATAAATGATATCTGGGACAGCTAGATTAACTGTTTTCTCAACTCAAGCTATTTGGAAGCCATAAAATAAATCAAAGAAAGCTTAGAAAGAACTGTGTGCTGAGAGTATTGGAGACACATTACAAATTATTGTAGTTCAAAATTACTTGTATATGAGATATTGATGGAAAAGCTGAAAACTGACTAATTATGCAAATCATTTTTTTTAATATGCACAGATTTGAGTGTAAAACCAATAAAGTCTGCGCAATGTCACAGAAATCTATGTAGTGTGTAATATGTTTCATTGAAATGTGATTAGAACTCGAAAGTTATGAATTATTATGCTAAATAGAGAATTAATAAGAACAGATTTTAACCCAAAACTAATCAGGTCTGTGCATTGTAATAGAGTATCTATGTACCAAGTGTCATTGAAATATGTTGATTTGCACTTGAGATATCAGTGAAAAAGCTGAAAATCAACTAATCGTTATGCAAATTAGGTAATTAATATGCAAGAATTTCTACCAAAACCTAATCAAACCTGTGCATTAGACCAGAGCACCTATGCATCAACTTCCATTAAAAACCAACATGTGGTTCTTGAGAAATCAGTGGAACAGTCGGACACACACACATACATACGCACTAACTGCAAAGACTCCCATTGTGTCCTTCGCACACGGGAGTAAAAAATGCACTAAAAATAAACACTCAGTAGACAATGTAGGTTCTATTGTCACAAGTTGATGTAAAGTTAAATTGAAGTTGTAACAACGTTGTACACACACACACACACATACAGGCTAACTGCAAAGACACCGATTGTTTGCTGTGCACACGAGGGGTCACAATTCTGCAAGCAAGACATCGTCACCAACACAAATAATGAATAACTGGTTAAATGTAGGTTGAAAAACATGTTTGTCTACCAGTGATCCAATGTCTGTGGAATACACTGAGAAATAACTAAGTTTAAAATGTTATGAAACAAATAATCACAGTCCATATAAATGGTATATTTTTAATTGCAAACAAACTGAAAACATATTTAAGTACAATAAATAACAGTTCATGTTTTGGGTTTTAACTTTATCAGAGCCTGTATCCGACCAAGGATTATCTCGTTAGTACTTATACAGTTATCTGAGGTGTACGGAGGTTGTATAAACAAGGCATCAGATACTGATAACAGTTCTTCCTGGTCACCTGACATGGTTACTGGTAGTCGATTCTTCTCAAGCCAGTCTTTCAAATCAATTTTTCGTCTTTGTATCTCCTCCTTAGTAAAGGTTATTTTGGTTTCTCTGGAGAACAGTCTCTCTAGTTCATCTTCATGCTCTGTAGCATCACTGGATATCCTGACAGTTTTCACAGCATGTCCCATGACTACTGTACATTCATTAGATGTATCTTCAGAAAACTGCACCAATACAATACTAAGAAATAATAAACATTACAGGTATTATTCATTTGACACTGAAAACAATAGAAAACTTTACAGACGTGACTTGTGCATTAGGTGTATGTCATATTTGAACACATTCCTTTGTTTATATTGATCACAGAATCTCTATAGTGCATGACGGAAATAGAATCCTGTTAGTGAATGCATTAGACCAGTGCACAATGGCATATCAGGCTGTTATATTTCATTATATGTAAAATGGAAAAATGTGTATAATAATAAGGTTATTATTCGGATACTGCAAAGTATACACTTAGGCAGTACCTACACTCATCTCGATTGAAATAATCACCATTCGGTCTTTGTGCATAGTATTCTCCTAATAACCTCATAATATCTGACATTTGTGGGGTCTTAAAATTTGTTAAGTAATTTGAGTGATGTGCAATGTATTCTATGGTCGTAATTTCATGAGCCAAGTAAGGATATACCACTTCACATGTCACTTGGGAACTAAGGTTAAAAATTGGCTGAAAAGTTGATAATAATAGCCTATTCCCTCTAGAGGTGATCATTCTATCATACCAAAATTTGTTTCCACAAAATCTTCTATTCACACTATCTTAATCTAATCAGGAGAAATCTAACAGTCAACATTGTCATTTCAGGATTTCTATATAGTTTATTTCTTTGCATATTTATTTTTATGGATTCCTAAAATAAGCATCTAAGCATCTAAACATGAATGCCAAAGCCCATGCACACTTTACAAGTAATAGTGTATGTGACCTGTCAGTATCTTTAATAATTCACAAATCATATCTCTGATTTTATTGTGGGAGTCAATCTCCAACCAAGTAAACTCCATTTTAATGTAAATTCGACCATTTGTATGCAGGACATAGGACTGTAAATGCCAATGACATCATTTTGAATTAAAACAGATCTGTTTCTGGTCTGCATGGTAAAAATGAGCCGCTCGCATATTTTTTTTGAACAAAAAAAGAATGAATTATAACTGTGTTGGGGAAAAAATCTAATCACCCACTCATTTTCCAGAAAACCTTGGGCAGACGACTGTATAAAATATTTATAAATGACAGCTAAAAAAAACACATTTAAAGATACTTATCAAGTGCCTGAAGGTAATCTGCAAATGGTTTAAAATGTGACAATTAAATTCTACAGCAATGAAAGCGAATTCTTTGGAATTGAATGAAGCGCAAAGGTCTTCCAGGCAATGTGTTTTATAAATATTGTATAAATTTCTATTTTAAAAAAGTGTCATATATAAATAAATTCACTTCATTTACATAATTGGCAAATTGTTGTGAAATTTGACAAAAGTCATTTAAATTTGTCAACTAAACCTTCCGATATTTGTTGTTAAATATTTAAAGTTAAATAATAAATTCAGTTTAAGCAATTAGAATATGTCTGATTACAAATTGTGTCACCTTTGGAAAACCGCCTTGTAACTTGCATGGAGTAGAGTTCCCCTCCCCCCCCCCATTATAAACGTGGTCTGTCCCTTTCTACTCACCTCTTAGACACAGGATCGATAGTATGGACCCAGCCTGTATGTATTTTGCCATCTATACTTTCAACCTCCACTAATTTATGAACGAAAAATATCATTTCTTTCGGGGTTTGTTGTCGAAATTCATCACCACCCAGCGTGGGCACTCCGCTTTCACTCGCTGTCATGCTTGTATGTTAGATCACAGTCCCTCAACGAACTGTGGTTAGATCACACTCCTGTGGTTAGCTGCTTTATTATTGTGAAACACGCCACCAATGTAGGTATCGCGATAAATTATACATTCGGGATTTGTACACAAGATGGCTGACTTCGTACGTTAAAGTTGTTATATTGGTAATATCAAGTAATATCTTGTGAAACGTCATATCAGATACAACGCGATATTTAAAATATCAATCTTCTCACATAACACTACTGATATGTTTTTGTAATGGACCTGACCACATCCTGATACAGGTACATGTACACGTATGGCAACATACCGGTCACATGTCGGATGTAAGATACTATGTAGAACGTTGGTACACTACTAGTATATTCATGGTGTCAATTTATCACCACTCAACAAAGTATCAAAACTGTCTTTCTATGACATTATTTTCTCAACGGATTACGTAAAGAATGGCAGCATGGCCGTGGAATTCTCCCCAGTTCAGATTAATGTGGAACCAAAATTGTCAACAGATTAGATCAAACAGCATCGTTACAAATCAGCCTTTCTCAGCGCCACCGTTGCTAGCACTGCATTCAACCATACCAACAACTCCTGGAGTACCGATTTACAGACGAAGTTCTCCCACTACATCTCTCGGAACATTGGCAATGCGTCCCCCAATAAGAACTGCATCAGTTCAACCAGTCTATAGGTTTGTGTCAAATACACTGACGAATACTTTTGTTAGATCACCATATCAAATATATTCTGCTGCAAGTACACAAGTATCCAGTGAATCAAATATGAGGAAGCGGACACGACAAGATTCGGCTTCAGACAAGCGTAACATTCCTGCAGCCACAAGACCTCGTGTTTCCATATCAAGCTCTGTCTGTACTCAATCATCACAAAATGCAATACAAACAGAATGTCAACAACAACAGCCAGCACATGACAGCAGCGCAATGCAACCAGAGATGCACAACATTAAACCAGCTACACTGTTTTCAAGTAGACAGTCTGTAAGAGACACTTCCACTGGTACTGATATATTCAGTAGGGAACTGTCATTGAAATCAGTCCCAAGTCACCATGGGAGAAGACATGGCAATGTGTCTGTGAAGAGTGCTCAGAATTCAAGTGGTGCAGAGAGTATGTATTTTTTATTCAACTTGCCTCTCTAATATATTTTGATAAGAGTATTGGGAAACGAAGAAAGTTGCACTAGAATTGTTCACTATTGTACGTCAATAAGACATGTGAGAATCATTGGCATGGTGGAATCAAGTGGTAAAGTCTATTATTTGAGCAAACATCCAGATCAAACTGCTTTCAATTGCAACCCAAAATAGTGACAACCTCTCATGTAGACATGAAATAAGCAATCATGATTTGCTTATTGTGTTTCAGTTTTAATTGAATCTATATACATACAGATTAACACTAGGAGACCTGAAATAGAATAGACCACAGTCCCTCTATCCCCGGTCTGGAAACGGTCATTGTATTTGTATTAGGTGTGAGTTGGTCTCCTTCCCTGGCAAAGGTGCATTGCGGGTATGGGCAAAGCATTGTCACGTGATCAGTACGCAGCCAGCCACTATTTTTGACATCGTCAGTGTTATGTATTTTTTTACAACTTGGTTGTTTATTCCAGAATTCATGCTTTTTCACATAATTTTTTCATCAGGATATCTGTATAAGGTCATATTTTAGCCGGCGAGTAGTTCTTTATTTCATCTATTTTACCAGCAGCGACACATTTTCGCAACAAATTTTCATACCTTTACCCAGATATTTGTCGTTTTCGATTTTGGGGTGATTGAAATGAACTCTATTCTATTTACCATACTTCTCGGCGCTAAACCAATATTTGTCTTCGATTTTGACATTTTATGATCGAAACATATCATTAAAAATTGGTGGGCTGATTTGTTATTTGTCACACCACATTTTATTAATGTTAAATTGAGCGACTTTTATGGATGCTTTTTAGATCGTAAATGCAAATGGCGATGTTTTGAAATGACAATGTACTCAATTCTGTGCTCAAAAAATCATTTATATACAAACAGTGAAGCATTGTTATATACTTTTGCATAGAAAAAAGTCATTAGTTGTTGTATAGTTGATTTGAACTGTCATGAACCCCCAAGAATCAGAAATATCACCAGTTTTTTGATCGACTACGTTAACATGAACGACGCCATTTTGACAAGATTTGTATAGCGATGTCAGCATGTTGGCACGCAAAGTTTTTTTCCCTATTAAAACTAGAAAATGAACATAATTCCCGATATTAATCTTTGCATTGCAGGAACTGGATGTTTATGAGTTGGTAGGCTGGTTTTGATGCGCATCACTGTTAAAAAACCCCAAATTTCATAGTGATAATTTTGTTTACATGTTTGTTTACGTTGTGGTTGCCCGAATTTGAAGTCAAAGTGAAGTCATACAATGAGGTATCGCTTTGCACGACGGTAAATTTTCCGATTTTAACTAATATTTTGACGGTATTGTAATCTGTCTGACTTCCTGACTCTCTCGGCCCGCGTGTGAACGGTTTGTTTACCCGCACCGCGGTTCGAGACAAAAGAGCGCTAGTCGTTTCCAGACCGGGGATAGAGGGACTGTGAATAGACACATTCTAAATCACTTGTGTAGTACGGTACTAGTAATGATCTAAACTGTCACAAGAATTTGTTTTCCTAATCGATTGTGCAACTCTATGTTGTTATTTACTGTTAAGGTGATGACAGTGCAGTTAATAACCCTGAATTCTACAGGAGAGACTGGATTTATACTGATATAGGAAAGGAACACATCAGGAAAAGAAAACCTGGAATAGAGTTCAGCATAATGTCATACAACGTGCTTGCCCAAAGATTGATTGAAATGAACATGTTTCTGTATCCACACTGTAATGAGGATATTTTGAAGTGGGAATATCGTAAGAATAATTTGATGAAAGAAATCAAAGAATTGCAAGCTGATGTAAGTGTAAATCAACAGGACACTGAATATGTAAAATAGCGATAGTGAAGTTTATTATATTAACCTCCAGCGTCGGTAACATTGTCAATCTCATGTTTTTCAGATTTTGTGCCTTCAGGAAGTTCAAGAAGAACATTTCCAAACATTCTATCAACCACAACTTGCCCTTCTAGGTGAGACACATATTTCATTGAACCGACTGACTTGGTGTTCTCCCCACACCTCAGTACTGAATGTGTTAATTAGTTCCATTGTCACAAAATAAGAAAATTAATTATACAATAATTTGATGATGATATTTTGATATTTTGTTCATGGAAATAGTATAATACTGAAATTATAGTATTCATTTGTCAACATTATTTCATTGTTCTTTAACAGGATATGAAGGTGTATTCAAGCGAAGAACGGGAGACAAACATGATGGCTGTGCTACATTTTTCCTCACATCTCAGTTTGAATTAGAAACTTACAGACTGATTCAGTATTACAAACCTGGTGTATATCTCCTAAACAGAGATAATGTTGGTGTGATTGTGCTACTCAAACCAAAAGTCAACACATCATCACATCAACGTATCTGTGTCGCCAACACCCACCTTCTGTTCAATCCTAAACGTGGTGATGTGAAACTTGCTCAGTTGGCTGTGCTATTTGCTGAGATTGATAAGCTAGCTCTGCGGAGAACCACTCATAATGGTAGGCCTGTATACTGTCCTACTTTACTGTGTGGAGACATGAACAGTATTCCGTACTCACCGCTTTACAGATTCATATCAGGCATGTTGAAATACACTGGTACACAGACAAGTACAGTATCTGGACAGCATAGAGGATGGCACGGTGACGTCTTACCATATCCACTATGGCCACGCTGTATGGGCATCACAGATGCATGTAAATATGTTGAAGTGGTGGAAGAAAGGAGACAAAAGAAAAAGAAAGGTACACAATTTACATTTGTGTATGAGTTGTAAATTCTATCATGTGTGTTTGTCACATTGTTATGTACTGAGATATATGTGAAATCCATCAGTTGTACTGCATCTCATTACTAACTGTACCAACAGTTTTACTTTTGTATTATGATGCTGCAGAAAAACAATGAAAAAAGGTTAAAAATAACTAAAGCAGAATTTGAGCAGTAACTTTGCCAATAAACAGTGCAATAATTGGGTTTAAATCAGTGTAACTTTTGAATGCTGTAACTTTCAGATTTATTTTTTGGCCAAGTAAAGTTACTAAAAAATAGGAATCAATTTTCACCAACAATAAAACTTTAATTAAACTTGAGCCAATATTAATATTAATTTAAAAGTAAATGTTTTATTACTATATCATCTTTTACAGATGGTGATGGCTGGCAAGAAGTCAAACCACGGTATACTTTCTCAGAAACAATAAAACATGATTTCAACTTTAGATCTGTGTACACTCATCGAACTGAGAATCGAGAGAATGAAGTCACGACGAATCATGACAAAACAAACTGTACATTGGATTATATCTTTTATTCATTGACTGCTCGTCGTAGGGAGGAACAAAAGCATGGCCGAACAAGGACGTTTTATGAACGCTATGAAGGACCATTGAAGTTATTAGGTAAACTAGCTTTATTCTCCGACAGTAAAGCCAACAAAATGGGAGGATTGCCAAATAGAATGATATCCTCGGACCATTTTTCATTACAAGCTAAGTTTCTTTTACAAGAAGATTAAAGAAACATTCATTATATATTTTAAAATGAAAAACTGTTTATATGGAAATAATATTAAAGTTGCATTCCTACTTTGTATGATCTGCAGACATCTTCTGACTGATCCCTGGTACATTGTAAATGCTTAAAGTGCCTGTGAAATGGCTGCTATTTTCACGCCTAAAATTATCCATTGATACAAAAATATTATTAATTTTTATGTTTCTAAGCATGAATTATTTTTTTAAGGTAAAAAAATGTGTTTCAAACTCAATCTACGGCAACTTTATTTTTGTGTATTTTAAAACGAGGCTCCTCATTAGCTTCTTATTTGCATACAGAAATTCCTCTTGTGACGTCAGAAGGGGAAGTCGCATGGCAGCTTGCATTGCCGATACGTGTAAATAAGTCAAATTCCTTCTGCAGTTTTCTCGTCTTTGACTACATTTTCACTTATGTACTTGTTCGTCGAGAAAGAATGGACCATAATGAACACATAGTATAAATTTTTGTTGCATGGGGTTGGGTTAGATGCGAAATATGTTCGTTCTGGTGTAGCTGGTCACCGTGATCGTCAGCGGCACACGTTTGTACACTGTCGCTGGACAAAATAGAGTTTGACGTTGGAATTATCTCGTTATTTAGCAGGTTACTAGGCACGTCACTACCTACACTGTTTTATTTCATTGATCGTCTGGATAATTAAAAAAAAACGACAAATCACAGTTACTAAATAAATGACAGCCGCGTGGAAATAAATTGAAATTTTGTTGAAATAGGTGAGCGCGTTGGGTCAGGACAAAGGCAAGTGCGCTAAAAGCGACGTTTAATTGGATAACAAAAATAATCGAGGTCGACACACATACAGATAAATTCAGAGTGGATTCGAGTTAGCGTGATCCATGGCGTGATTGTCATAATTATAACATCATATTAAAACTTTATTTGGTGGAAACACATTGACCAAGCCCGGATTCTTATTTCATAAATTATTACGCAGATCAAGCTGCAAGCATGGAGGTAAAAAAAGAACAGATGTGTGAATTCAACATTCAACACCAATCACCAAACAATTCAGAAACTTTTAGCCTTCGAAAATGAAAACAATTAGCTGTGTGTAAGGGTTGTGTAATTTCCTGTTTGTCTGACACTTCGTTTGCGTGTCACTGTCGAAATTATTGCTACCTTTTACTCAACAGGGACTAAATGGTCTTTATAAAACGATAATCACGATCACAAAAAAAGTCAACTCATTTGAAACACTTGCCGGACGTCTCTCTCTTTTCTGAAATCCGCCTCGGTGATCATAGTCCGGAATCTATTTCTTTCAAAAGTGTTGCGCCAGGTTTATGTTGTCGGCGTTTCTCTTTAAACCTAGTTGTTTTTTTCATGGACGAGGACAGTTTTTCCAAAAAAAGGATTCTGAGGTTAAATGGCTTTCGTCCACTGATGTCGCACCTTCGGATCGCTTAGAAACATGTGAATACTTACACTATGACTATATGTTTCACTGCAACTGCCCACAACACAACATCTAAAAACTCTCTCTCAAAAAAAAGGAAAATAGACAAAAAAAAAGAAAGAAAAAAAACGCCGACTGGAAAATGTATATCGTTTAAAAGTATACTGAATGACCAGTGTTATTACGGCTCAGGGGTATGACTTCCTCTCACATTTTGGCATTTGGTGGCGCACTTTCGGCGAGAGTCGGAAATCCGGAAACAGTCGACCGTTTCAGGATTGGTGGGCGTGGCTACAACACGAGAAATAGCCCAAATTTACTTGGATACAAGTAATCATTTTCAGCAAAAAAATCAATAACTGCCCATTTCAGTGGAACACAGATCTAAAATGGAAAACGTGAGGGTGGGCATTGCACAGGCACTTTAAGGTTTCAGTACAATTTATGAAAAATCTTTTCCAACAAAAAAATTTAGAAAGTGGCTTTGAGTGATTACAACAATGAAAGTGTGTTTGATTTGATTATTAAATATCACAATATTCAATGCAGGCTAGCCAGTATTTCAAATAAGTGGGATGTGTTCTGCATATAAAACAAACAAAATGGAAATGCATCTTTAATTAATGTAAATAATTGCTTATGAGGGCGGGGCAGACTGTTTCTATGGATTTGTTGTTTTTGTATATAACAAAGATGTAACATTTTATTACACAGAAAAATCTTTGTTTCTATACTATTTTAAAAAGTCTAGGTGATTCTAACAAGCTTTGTAGAATAGAACACTCATTTTCAGTTTAACTTTTTGTCAACTGGTCTACAAATAATTATACTAAATAATTATCAAAACTCACTCACTGATGGTAACATACATTATTATTGTGACATATTCTATTTTGTTCAAGCTTCCATATATTTGAGATTTCAACTTTGCAATGTGTCTGAGATTTGTGAAAATTACCATCTACTAAGCCAACAAATTTTATTATTTCCATGACTGTAAATTGATGTATTTTATAAAACTTTCAGTTATTATTTGTACTCTCTGTAAGCATAGATAAATGGCCAGTGAAGGTTAACCTTTACCAAGATGTTTGATTGTAGTCCTGAAAAAAAATGAATGAGTGGTGTGAAAGTTGCTTTTGGTGTATGTTAATTGGTTCACATCCCGATCCAACGACTTAAAGCTTTTCTGGTCCGTGGGAGTTCCACTGATTGTATGATTCACTTTGTCACTATGATACAATGTGCTTATACCAGTATAACATTTATTTTTTAAAAACATTCTACAGTTTACTTCTTTTGTTCAAACATACAAGGGTGATGATTATTTTAAAAATCATAGTCTTTGCTAACATGGCAAGTAAATAACACCAAATACACAGCAGGGTAAATAATGTG